TTTTTTTGTGGAAGGTGTTGCTCATTTTCTCCATACAAAAAAAATTTAAACATAGTACTTTGGATGGAAGAAAATGCGCGAACAAAAAATTGCCAAAAAACAAGGCTACTGCTTCAAAATTTCCCTTTATTGTACTAAAATTTAATGGGCTACAAAACTGCATACTCAAGACAATTCTAGAAAATCTGATTAAAATGTTCAAAATCTTGATGAACATTTGCTAAATTTTTTTTAGGTAGTAAGTTATATTTTCATAATGTATAGGTTTGCACTAAAAACCCAAAAGAAACACGAATTCGAAGTATATGTATGTTGTTTATTTGAGTACTCGCAAGGCGAACGTATGTACCAGTCACGTCAAAAGCTTTACAATAATGAAATACTTATGCCCATATCAAAGTTGAGCTTAAATAGTGTGTAAGCAAAGAAAAGCAAGATAGGTAGTAGTTCTTGTATACTGTGCAATGGCATGATCGAAGTAACGGTTGGGCGGCGTGACATATGTATGCTGACTGCAGCAGGTCACCTGATGCTGGTGATGCCGGATTGTGTGGATTCAAAACACACCAAATTTAAATGCCTATTTTGGATATTTGACCAGAGACCCAGAATAATAATTAGTTCATGGTGGAGTTTTAAAAAAGTCATCCAAATTTTCATAAGAATCATAAAGGTCTTTTGATAATAATTATGTGTGGGAAAATTTTTTTAAGTCATCATAACTATTATTTTAAGTCTTTTATAATAGAAGTATTTTCTTAATAATTATCAGCGAGATAAATATTTTTAAGTCTTCAAAGACTTTTATTTTGAGACTTATATTATAAAAGTCTTGCCATAATAATTATCATTGAGATAAATATTTCTCAGTCTTCACAGACTTTTATTTTGATACTTATATTATAAGTCTTTTGATAATAATTATGAGTGCAAAAAAATTGTGTATATAGTCCCGAACGGGTCCCAACTACTCCCTAAATAGTCCCTAAGTGGTCCCCACCTAGCCCCGAACTGGGCCCCAACTAAATGCTCCTGAACAAGTCCCGTCTTTTAAGACTTAAACAATTTTTTCGAGCTCATAATTATTATGAAAAGACTTCTATAATATAAGTCTTAAAATAAAAGTCTTTGAAGACTTAAAAATATTTACCTCTCTGATAATTATTATGAAAGGATTTTTATAATATAAGTCCTTGAATAATAATTATAAATGACTCGGAAAATCAGGGACGTGAACCGGTTTTGAACCGGAAAACCG